AAAGCAAAAGAAATGTAACATAGGCCTGGGGACATGACTAATGAACAGAAGAAATGTTATTTTCGTGCCAGGAATGTCTCTTGTTTATTCTGGACCCTGTTTGGAAATTGGCATCTTTTGAAATTTGTGTGAAATTGGCAAAATTGCCAATTTCTGACCACTTATTGTATAGTTGAAATGGGTAAATGGGTGGGTTCTTGTACTCATTCGATAGAAAAAATGGAGTACTAGCAAAATAGTTACGATTTTTGTCGACTGGTACGTTGGAATTGGCCAAAAATAGGGCTCAAAGTGGGCAAAATCGCCAGTGTGTAAACATGAAAACCGCCAACTTCACCAGAGCATAATTCCATAAGTTTTCCATCAAATTTCATACTTTTGGTCTCATTATGATAGGGAAAAATTCTCTATCATTCCATAAGATGTTTCCGACCCTCAGAACAAGTTTAGGAGAGGGCCTGCCGACCCTGAAAGGGTTAAATGTGCAGATCCAGGATGGCCTCAGTGATTGGGGTCTTGACATAACCTTCCAGGAAATTAACCCTTTGACTGTCACAACCCCCAATCCTGAGGTGTCTACTGGTGTCGCAAAATTTAAAAAAAAAAAAAAAAAAAATTCTTATGAAATGATAGAGAATCTTTTCCCGATTGTAATGACACCAAAAAAACGAAATTTGATGGAAAACTGATGGAATTATGCTCTCGCGAAGTTAGCGACCTCAGCGCTGTTTACAAATCGGCGATTTCGCCCACTTTGAGCCCTATTTTCGGCTAATTCCATTGTACCAGTCGCCCAAACTCATAGCTATTTCTTTAGAGCTCCATTTTTTCTATCGATTGAGTACAAGAAACTGCCCATTTACCAATTTCAACTACCTAATAATGTGGTCAGAAATTTGCAATTTGGCCAATTTCACGAAAACTAAAAAATATGACAATTTCAAAATAAGGTCCAGAATGAACAATGCAGACATTCCTGGCTCTAAAATAACATTTTCTTTGCTCATCAGTCATGTCTCCAGGCCCCTCTGATATTACTCTTGTTTTCTATTTTGAATTTTTATTCAAACAAAAAATAGAAGACTTACTACTATGCAGACTACTGCAATACTGTAATAATTGTATAAATAACATCAACCCATTCATGACTGCATATTAAAATGGCTATTTGGACATTTATTGGACAATGGCATCATTTGTTTACTTTTGAACATTGGCATCATTTGTTTACTTTTGAACATTGGCAAAAATCAAACATTTCTCCTACTTTGAGCTCCATTTCTAGGTTCTTTTTATAGTAAAATCAATCAAAATCACCTCTATTTCTATAACATGTTTTCCATTCTATCAAATGAGACCAGGAAAACGAGAATACAACCATAAGTACTATACGAAAATAGACCACAAAGTCGGCATTTTAATTAAAAAAAACGGTCGGAGTTTTTTTTTCTCATTATGCACTGTGTGCTCCAGGATTCTTTTTATATGGTGCACACTGACCACACAGACTCATTCTCTCACATGTGGGCCTACCAGCTTTCTCCTGCTTGATTTGAAGCCGCTAGAATTTATGAGTATATATACGTCAAACACGGTACCTCGTAAGACGTATATATACGGCCGCGACAGTCAAAGGGTTAAATTCTTTACTGGTCCCCCTTTTCGGGCCCTTTAGGACTTTTGTGTAAATGTAGGAGGGAACCCTTAACCCAAAATAATGACCTATATTAATTAACAGATGTCCATCTTTCAAAAAAAATTTAAGGGGCCTCCAGGGAAAACAGTAAGAAAAAACACTTTCAAATTTACAATTTTTTGAAGTGGCTCCCCTGTTGGGGAGTTTGCATAGTCTTACAATAAAAATCACAGTGCATCATTCAGAAAATGCACTTGAAATATTTTGAAGTGAAGGATTAAAGGAAATTTCTTTGTATTAAAATCTGCTAATCAGCTACATTTGTGATTGTTGTTCTTTGGGAAATCATTCGAGCTCTCCCTAAAACTTTTATGTTTTCCCTATCAAAAAATACAGGAATACACGATTTTTTATTTACAGACTTTGAAGTTCAATAAACACTATGAATACTTTGGTTTCATATAAATTTCACTATGTAATAGTCCACAAATTTAATAGTAAAATTAATTGACATGCCTGTGACCAATACTTAGTCTTTTACATGAACTTTTAAAATTTAAAATTTTAACTTGTAGTATTTGCTTTCTTCACAAAACATTTTATTTTGTAAATAGCACAACTGGTTTCATTGCACTCCCCCCTAAAAACTAGTAGACGTTTTATTATTTTTATTGCCTCTAAAAAAGCTTCCCTTCCCCATGACTACCATAATGTTCTAGACCATGTTAATAAAAAAAATTATTTGGGCATAAATTGGGGAAAGCAAAATGCTGCCTGATGCATATTAAATTTGGGAGGTTGAAAACTCCAAAGGGGGCAAAACTTGGTGAAAAAAAACCTTAAAAAACATCCATTGATATCTTTTTCAGTTCAGGGTTTATTGCCTTGACCTGGTAGCTTTCCAGAGGGAGGGTAATTTCACTGCTTTAACCGTTTTGTTTTTCTGCTTTACATCAAAATTTCTGAAATTTTGGGGGGTTTCAATTAAGAAATAAAACAGGGGACAAATTCCCCTGTATAAAAAGGGGGGGGGTACCCCTAGGAAGGGGGGGGAAAAAAATTTTGTTTGCGGGGGGCCTTGGTTCCCCAATCGTGACGGTTTTGGGGAAAGGGGGAAAAAAATTTTTTTAAAAACGATTTTTGGGGGTTTGGACAAAAAATTTGGATAAAAAAAAGGGGGCCATTGAGTTGGGTAAAATCGGCCTGCTTTTAAGGGGGGGGGGGTTGAAATTTTCAAAAAATTTTTTAAAGACCCTTTCAAAGAATATGGTTTTTTGGGGTGAAATTTTTCTTTTCGGGAAAAACCCGGGGGGGGGTTTTTTTTTTTAAAAAAAAAAATTTTTTCCAAAAAAAAAAATTTTTTTTACAGTTCTCTAAATAAACGGGTTTTTTAAAATTAGTCCCCAAAAAAATCGTGTAAATAAAGGGGGAAAGCTTGTGTTTGCAAAAATAAATTAAATAAAAAAAAAGGAGGAAAAATGAGAAATTTTTTACAACATGGTAATGACAAAGTTGGAAAATTATAAAGGTGGTTCCCCCACCACAAAAAAAAAATGCAGCAGAAAAGGGCCAAAAAGGGGGTTTTGAAATGCCTGTTAGAACTGAAAAATAGGTTTGATGAAAGGTTTTTTAACACTAAAGATGCCCATCTGTCTGATAAAAGGGAATTTGGGAGTTGTGATAACCACATACATGATTATAAAAAAAATAGGGAAACAATTGACAAAGATTTTCCTACAGGAAGAAGAGGTCATAGCTAGAAACTAAGAAAGATGGAGTGCTAGTCAGATATTAAAAAGTTAAGTTACCAGAGGAGGAAGATGGAGTATGAACATAGCTCTCTTTATTTTAGCTACAGATGGGTACACACACCCTAGTCTTTTGTTTGGTCTATAGACAGCACCCCTTAGGGAAGTACTACCACATTGTCATAGGAGTATGGAACAGAAGTCTGTTAGGTGCTTTGCAATGGCATAATTACTGGTCATTTCTTACCTCTTTAATGCTTAGTACCGACTTTCAGTATACATTTACCCTTGTTATCCTGTGTGCCATATATTTTATAGTATTTATCCTGTGGTGTTACCATTGTTTCCCTTTTGGAAATGGGTTAGAATTATTCTTTCATAAGCCATGTGTCTTGTGCAAGACAAGTACAGTGGACCCCCGCTTAACGATCACCTCCCAATGCGACCAATTATGTAAGTGTATTTATGTAAGTGCGTTTGTACGTGTATGTTTGGGGATCTGAAATGGACTAATCTACTTCACAATATTCCTTATGGGAACAAATTCGGTCAGTACTGGCACCTGAACATACTTCTGGAGTGAAAAAATATTGTTAACCGGGGGTCCACTGTATTTGTATGGTTATCAATATATTGAAGGTGCTACCCAAGGGGTACCAGGGTTGTTTCAATGACATTTCTGTCAAGTTAATTTTTCTAAGTTTGGTTTAATTTGGCACAGCATCATTGATACAGTTATAGAACCCTGTAATAACCTTTTTTGTATTATTTAAATAAGAATTCTATTCAAGTTTTTGTAATGTCATAGGGTTTTCATCTGTATGCCAATGAGCAGCTTGTTGGAATTTGACAGTATATAATCGCTGAATAGCTCTCATATCTAGTTTAACATTTATTATTATTGAACTCTGAAGGTATACAATATCTATATGCTTGAATTATGTATTTCAGGATATACCAGTGCATTATTGTAGAAATTAAGTATTATATATGTAGTATATCCCCCATTCCTCTTTCTGCCTCCCTGTTTCCTTCCCTTCTTCCTAATCCACCCTTGCCTCTCTATTTCCTTCTTCCTCCCCTTTTCCCCAAATTACCCCCGGCCTTCCTCAGACTTTTTCCTTTTTCCTCCTTCCCCCTCTCTTCCTCCCTGCTTTCTTCCCTTCCTCTTCTCCCTCCCACTCTAATCCCTCATCCTCACACTCCTGCCTCCCCTTCTTTCATCTCACCTTCCTTTATCCTCCTCTAACTCCTGCCTTTCTCATTCCCCTCTCTCTTTTATTCTTTCATTGTTTCTGTATTTCTGTTTCCCTTGTAACCATTATCTTCCACACTCATTCTCCATCTCCTTTTTCCTTTTCCCCTTTTCTCTTTTCCCTTTTTCTCCTCAACTCCCCTCTGCCTCTCTCTACTTCCTCACTTTCCTTCATTCCTTCCTTTTTCTCTCACTTCTTATAAATTTCCTTCCCCCCACTTATCCTATGTACAGTATTTATTTCCCCTCTTCATTTGTCATAACACCATTGCCAATTTCATCTTGTTCAGCTTGGCAATAGCATTTCTGTAATTATTACATATAAATTTTAAATATTTATGTAAAGTGTCTCTTTCTACAGCCCATCCGTGAATAATGATGAGCAGGTCAAACCTCGATCATTACGCTTTACATGGAGCATGAAAACTACATCATCACGTGACCCCAATGACATCATGGCCGAGATTCGCAAGGTAGACCACCCCCAGCACCATGAATAGCGACGACAAGTAATCCACCCGCTGCATGTCCTGCTTAACACACTGTCTTCATGCTAGCAGCTATCTCCCTCGGTGCCCCTCACTCCCTATTCCCCAGTACCATGCTACTCTTGCAATTACAAACACACCACATTTCTCTCGACACCAAACCATTACTCTAAAAAACAACTTTGACAGTTTTCCTTCACACCTACCTCTTTCCGGCTCCTCCCTCCAACACATCCCCAGAGCAAAGATGTCTTACATAACATAAACATCCATTACAACTCCTCAAAGTACTTGGGTCTGTGTGTGCACATCCATGTCATTAAACTAGGTACCACAGCAGAATATCTGAACTGTGGATGCTTGTAGACAGTTTATAAATGTCATGCCAGATTTTTATCCAATTTAAGTTTGATTTCCCCCCTCCCCTTTAATAATTTAGGTTATTGGAGCATTTGATAAAATGAGATATATTTTCATTTATTTGATTAATCTTATTATTATAATTATTATTGGTTTTATTCCCTAGTTTGTCCCCCTCCCAGATGATATCAGCTTTTTACCCTTCTTCATTTTATTAATTGAAAATTTTAACACCCATTTCTTTTAAAAGTGACTTCTCAGATCTTATATTTCATTTTAGTCATGCTTCTAAGCAAAAAAAAAAAAAAAAAGCAGGTCATCAGATGGGTATTATACTGGTACCAGACTGGAATAGTTTGACAAAAATTTTTAATCTTGTTATCACATTTTTTTTATCATTACATTTGCATGGATTCTATATTTTCCTGTTAAGGTACTGTCATGTAATTCAATGGCCTGATATTAGGTCTTGTTACTTTGCATGTAACTTTGTAGCAGAAAGTCCCAGTTACAGTGTTTTGTGGTTTTTTAATAGTCTGGAAGTAGAGAGATAGCTTCTGTATCAGGACAGTGTCTTGTATTTGTAATGTAAGTGTGAGTTCAGAATGTGCATTTTAGAATTGTTGCAAAGCTGCTCCTTGCATCGAAAATTGATTTGATTTTATTTGAATTATATTTCAATGTAGCATGGGAAAGTTAGAACTAGCAGAAAGTAAAGCTTTTCTTCAGAACTAATCTCTCGTTCTGGTACTCTCTATTTTGTTTCAGGTTTTAGATGCAAACAACTGTGATTATGAGCAGCGAGAAAAGTTCTTGCTTCTTTGTGTCCACGGGGACCCTAATACAGACTCCTTAGTACAATGGGAGATTGAGGTAGGTCATTCAAAGTAATTTCCTCTTTGCACTGTAATCTTTACAAATCATGGAGTAATAATATAAAGATTATTAGTGAGCAAGACTAAAAATTAATGACAGTTCAGTTAAATCAAATACACAATCACATGAAAACACAGAATTTCAGTTGTAGAGCCTTCAGTACACATCACTTCACCAAGGGTGCAACCACAATAAAATCATTTTATAAAAAGAGCAAGATCAAAATTAAAAAATTAAGGTGATACTAAAGAGAATTATAAGGAAATGTAAATAATAGTTGTTGTTTAATATTTAGTAGAGTATTGATGTGAAAACCAAAGCACTAGTCACTGTGTCAAGCATACCATAAGTGATATACACAGGGAGGTGTTTACAATGCAAATTATCAGTTTTATAAGGATAATCCATTTATGCAGAGTAATATAAATGGCATGAAGATCAAAATTTGTGTCTTTCTTGCAGGTTTGTAAACTGCCTAGACTTAGCTTGAATGGTGTTCGGTTCAAGAGGATATCAGGAACTTCTATTGGATTTAAGAATATTGCCAGCAAGATTGCAAATGAATTGAAACTGTGACTACAAGGAGAATTTGAATTAGGAGATTCTCTTGTAGAAGTACCAGTAGGACATAACACAGCTTGATGTTAGTCCTAAATACAGGTTAAAAAAAAAAAAAATAGGGGTGCCTGACCCGTGATGTGTCTGGGTCACACGATTTTGTAAAAAAAAAAAAAGATTCAGGGAGTCAAAACATATTCCGAAACGTGCCTAACATCCATCAAAGTTGCATATGTTTTAAAATATTGTTATAGAAAGCAAATAAGTTTGTAAAAACTGTTTTAAGAGAGACAATGGCACCAAACAAGTTTTCGGAGGTGTTTTCATTATGCATTTTCGTGTTCTGACCTGGACTTTAGTATCAGGCCCCCTATAAAGCTCACCTGAAACTTCTTAATTAACAAGCTCACTCCCGGAAGCACTCATTCTTGAGTTGCACGGGGCTCTCCTGAAGCACCTTCGGCTTGTTGGCTTCCTATCCTCACTCTCCAAAGCATACCATGGACCCCTCTCGCTGCTCGAAATCCAGTTGCCTTTCAGGAATATATGATGACCACAGTACTATTGTTTATATTTATAGACACAAGCTGTCTTAAACTCTCCTGACCAGTGAAAAACTTTGTATCAGTGTATCTGTTTCTCTGTCATCATCAGGAGCAGATTTCTGGTACCATTATATAGTGTGATAACTGAAAGAAAAAGTCTGGTGTAGAAGATAATTTGAATGAACTTGAACAAAGTGTCTTAGTACTTACCCCCTTCCACCAGCACTGGCCTGAGTAGTGCGGTTGTGTAGTTGACGTGTGGTGGGAATGTAAATGGAGCTTCACAAAAATAAAATAAACGTAGTGGACTTGTTAAAGCGTGAGGCAAACCCCACCATATCATATTTCCATACATGTGAGCCACACATCATGTGTAATGATATCATCCTTACGTGTTGCACTCACCAGCTAACCAGAAGAATAGTTCCAAAGGAACAGTTAACCTTGTTTTCTTTTGTAAATATTTTGGCTATAGGAATGCAAAATTACAGTTGCCCAGTTTTGTTATATATTACCTATAGGATGAATGAGGTGATTTAAATATTGATATGTACAGTATTGTAAAGAATTGGTCACATAGCTGACTGAGAACATAACCCCCGATCCTGGTTAAAAAAAATAGCGTGCAACGTGTAGCATGAGCAGAGCTTGACTCCCAGTTGCCCCATGCCCTTGTGTAGAAACCAAAGACTGGGACTTCACTTCTGTTGTGCCTGGGTTATAAATATTGAGGAGTAGTGCGTTGCAGTCTGCAAGTGTGAGCCAACTGTCAAATAATTTTTTTTTCTGCCATATGCCCCACCTAGCCTTGTTGTATATTTACCTGCCCATTGTACATGATGTAGTCTTCTGATTGGTAATCCATCAGTACCACTGATTTTTTTTTTATTCTATATACATATATATTTTTTCTCATCATGACTATTCTGACTTGGCCATCCTCCCTTGCTGTTAAGTCTCCCCTGCACCCACCCACCTCCACTTGACCTTACCTGTACTATCCTCTCACAACCCAACCTCCTTTGTGTTCTACTACATTTCTCTTATGCTCCATAGTGTCCACCTGTTATGGGTGTTGAGGCTTTTGCTTCATGCCCATTTAATGCTTTTATTTTAATTCTCATCCATTGTGTAGATATATTCCCTTACATTGTCATTGTCATTTTATTTTAAAAGTACTGTAATCATTGTTCATCTTGGTTAGACATACTAGTGGTGGCAGTTAGGTAATTTATTTTTTTCTTTTATTACTTCCTGGGTATATAATCAATCATGTAAATTTATAGTTGCTAATATTTAATAAAAATATGAGATGATAATGTATGGACCATATAGAGAGAGTCTTTCTATACACAACCTTGGGTTTTAACTATATTTCATAACTTTCATTGCAAAACTTGGGAAATATTTTCCATCCCCAACATTTTTATCACAGGTAATCATGATCATTAGAACCCTGATAGGGGTATTTGTATTGCACAGACCAAAATCAAATAATGAGGAGTTTTTGTAATTTAAACTCTGGGATTCTGTTGGTACACAATGGTGATTTATTTTCAAAGGGTCCTAGTCCCACTCTAACCTATAGTGGTGAAAAGACAACCTTATCTTGTTTGAATAAAAGTTTTAACAAGATTTATTTAATAATGCTGCTGCATATGTTCATTCCTGTAACTACCTGTGTACATACTCAACCAGTAGACCTTGAAATACAGTGACAATTCACATTATTTGAGTTTGTTTACATTCCTTTATCATTACACAGACTGCTGTTTATAACAAATTACTAAAGTAACTTAAATTAGAAAATTCAAAAGATTTACCTTTAATATTGTAGCAGTAACCCTAACACAGTAACTCCTTAATATTCAAGGCAAATGCATTCTTAGGCTACCCAGTCAGTGCAAAACAAACATAAATTCTGTTAAATGTTTTAATTTTTATTCAAAACTGTACTTTAAAATTATTACTGTTCTGTGATATACAATGCTACATGTACAGTATTTACCTTTGATGTTATATGAAGATGTTGGAATATACATCATAATGTGTCTGCAGCACTGGCAATACTGGGAGCAAGCATGTCCCTCAGTTCTTCAATTTAATTTTGTTGCATCATGATAGCTTTCTCTTGAGCAGACTTTTCTCTACTTGTTGCACATAGGAGTCATAATAATACTAGTACAACAGAGTAATCCAAATAATAGCACAATACAGAAGTCACATTTCTGGCTGCAGGACCAACATGTTGGTGATGCACCACCAAAGCCTGTTGGCTTCATAGATCATCAGAAGACTGTAGTGTGCAGAAATGCCCGCATCAACTACAGAACACTTTTCAGCGTTTAGGCTTTGGCTATACCATTTACATTCCACGAAAGTGAGATACATCACGGCTCTGGGAGTAGAAAAAAACTTAGAACTTGTCAAAGGTGGATTGAAGAGGTGAGCGACCAACGAAACTGCAGATACTCAAATTTTTTAGTGGAACATTCATAAGAAAATGCTTGGAATTGTCAAAATTAACAAATATAAAAGCCATGAATATTGAGGGATTACTGTAATTAAATATTTTAGTATCTGTCAGACAAAAGAAAAAATGAAGCTTAGCAGCTTCAATTTATTGTGGAAATCTTTATCGTACTCAACTCCTTTCCTTCATAGGAGTATTCTTGTAATTCATTTACAGTAGGACTTGTGAATGTTTCTTTTATAATTAATTTTTGACGAATAAAATATTTTCCATAAAACTTTCTTTACGACATTGTGTATTTGCACAAATTAGAAAAAATGTTTATCAGAGATTAAACCAAAAAAATAAAAAAATACAGTATTAAAAATAGGGAAAAATAAAATTTTAAAAAATTTTTTTTTTAAGAAGAATTTTGGGTTCCACGTGTGGTAGATTACTATCTTGTAAAAATCTTTGGGGATTATGGCCGTAATACCCAGCTTGATCGGGTGATCATCAGAGAACCGCTTTTCGGCTGAGATTTTAAAATAAAAAATGACATTTAAAAAGTACCAAGATTATGCAAGATTAAATTTTTTCATTTTCTCTTTTTCAAAAATTGTGGGGTTTTTTAATTTTAGGTAATTCGAAAGCAAGAAACTTTTTAAGCAAATCAATTCTTGTGTGCTTTTATAATAAAATTTAACTTTTTGCAAAAGAATTGCATAATTTTTAAAAAATATTAATTCTTACACATCTCTAAATATTGGTGGTTTTTTATATTTTTTAAAAAGCACCAAAAACAAATTTGGGGTTTTCTGTTGCAAATTATTAATATTCTAAAAACTTAGTTTTTAGAATGTTAAAATGTGCAGAAAGCCCAATGATTTAGTGCTTTAATGTTAAAAAAAAATAAAAGTAGTGATGTTTTGTCTTGAAGTTCAGCCTGACCCTGGAGCTATGGCCTTTAGTGGGAAACACTTTTAGCAAGGGGATTTAGGGGGTACAAGGGAAGGTTTCCTGCGAAACCCCCTTACAGGTTTAGCCGTTCCCTGTTTAAAATTCATAGTCAGTGTGATTACAGTTTTTGGAGATCCCTATAAAAACAACTCATGTATGACATATTTTAAAGCGTTTATTTTGCCAGTGGGTTGATTTAGAGGTAAACTACAGTATTAGAAATTTAAAAAAATACATAAAAATTTATTTTTGTAAAAAAATCTGAAAGGAGTCAGGGGAATCCATCTGAGAACCTTCTCAAAGAGCCCATCCCACAGAAAAAACTCCTTTTTACCCTAAATGCAATAGTTGGACTGGTAAAAGCTTTGTGTGACGCCCCCATGTAAGTGTTGGAATGCCTCTGTTTTAAAAAAAAATGTCCTTTGTGTTCACTCTCCAGCTGATTTCAGAAGACATATCGCAGCCCCTATTGTTTGAGACTCCCCCACTGGCTTTTGGCCTAACAGTCTTTTTCCTTAGTGCACGACCAATTTATTCCTAGGGGGGGGGAAGGTTATAAAGGGTTTTCCATGTGGTTTTTGCATTTAAATTGGCTTTCCTAATTGTCCACTTGGCCCTCCCCTTGGTTTCCCCTGCTCTTATGGGGTGTTCCCCCAATGGCCGGCTTACAGGGCCAGACTTGGGCCCTTTACTCTCTGCGTTTAAATCAAGCCATGACATTGGCAATATTTTCTCCCACCTTAAAAGTATGGTAATTTTTTTCTCAGAAAAAGAAAGATCATGCTAGATATATATTTTGCAAGACCCTATGCCCTGATTGCTAATGAAAAGGACTTCTTTCCTGGGGTTTATGCACCCTTCACAAACTCTATACCTTTCAGCCCATTCTACCTAAATCTCTTGCTCCCCCTCTACCCCCGCTCTTCCCCTCCCCCCGCTTTTTTCTAAAAACCTACTTTCCATCCTTCCCCCTTTGCCCCAAACCTGCTTCCTTCCCTCCCTGCGCGCTGTATACCCCCCTTGGGCTTAGCGCTTTTTTTTTTATTAAATAAAAAATTACTCCCCCTTGAAGAGCCTTAATTTGTGCTGATTTTCCCCATGTCTTATTTGTTGACATCATGATAAAAGTTACCCCCCCCCTTGGGCCTTTGCCAGGCCCCTTTTTTTTCCTTGATTTTAGGCCCCTACATTGTGGCCACAGTACCTCTTGTTGTTAGATAGCCTTTATCCTTTTCCCTTTCCCCCTGTTGTAGGGGACTAAGGTTACGTTTATTTTATTTTCCCGAAAAGAGTCTGGCCCCCACTTTTACCCCGGTGAAGGGTGCTTGATCCTGTAATTGGAAATCACACTTCCCTTTAGATCAAACATGATAGCTTCCCATGCCTAAGGTGTGTAAGTATTTGTATCGTGTCAGGTATCAGGAGCCTCCATTTGAGGGCAGGATGGATTGTAGTACCCTGCTCTGCCCCTTTACTAATTATTTTGGCAGGGTTGGCACCTAGGGGTGGTTTGTTTCATGGGGGCCCTCATCCTTTCTACCTTCAGACCTTGGCAAAAACACAAAGAGTTTTCAAAATTGTTATTTTTGATTTTCCTTTTATCTTGGGGGCCTTTTCCCCCCCCTTTTCCCACTAATGCCTTTTCACCAGAGATTGAATTTAGGCCTTTGGTTTCTAGTGCTTTGGGTTTCTTCACTGGATGACTTTTTCTTATTGAACTGTTCACCCCCTCCCCAAGTGCAGGTTTTTTTAGTTTCCAGGTTTTTGAATTTTTTTAGATTTTCAGCCTTATGGGAAAGAAAAAAATGTTCCTGTTGCAAATTTTAGCGCTTAGGGACAGGAGGAACGAATTAAAAATGAGAATACAGCATGCAGAAAAAGAATAACTGCGAAGGTCTGATTTTGGGAAGCAAAGGCCAGGAAAATGACAAAATTAAAAAAATTTTTAAAAGAGAAACTCCAATGAAGGTCTTTGAAAATCACTTGTTCTCAAGTTCTATTGAAGGCAAGAGGATAGAGTGGAAAACGTACAGGGTTCTTACTGCCTGCATAAAAATTTATATAACACTAAAAAAATTGGAATGACTTTAACATCGAATTGTTCTCTGAAGCAGAAAAAAGCGATACCTAGTAAAACAACCTATAGGAGGGGACTGCATGCTGTATAGCCCTTGTATTACGCTTCTTTTTGATTATAAAATAAAATAATAGGAGGCACTGCATAGCAGAAAAGAGTAAGTGCCAAAATCAAACAGTGAAGAAAAATCCAGGTATGGGGGAAATTTGAGCTATGAAGCTATGACCATAATTTATGGGTTTTTGATCTAAATTGAGATTTTTTTTTTTTTTTTTTCAACAAGTCGGCCGTCTCCCACCGAGGCAGGGTGACCCAAAAAAGAAAGAAAATCCCCAAAAAGAAAATACTTTCATCATCATTCAACACTTTCACCACACTCACACATTATCACTGCTTTTGCAGAGGTGCTCAGAATACAACAGTTTAGAAGCATATATGTATAAAGATACACAACATATCCCTCCAAACTGCCAATATCCCAAACCCCTCCTTTAAAGTGCAGGCATTGTACTTCCCATTTCCAGGACTCAAGTCTGACTATATGAAAATAACTTAGAGATGCAGAAGATAATATCTAGATTTGCACAGACTGAACATTGAGGAATCAACTCGTCCTGTAACCCATATTTTGGCTGTGGCGGCATTCATCTTTTCTGCCATACAGTGTTTTGTGTGTGGAATTACTTGAGAACCTGGTCCTGAAGATGCACACTGTGCAGGTTTAGGACTTGTAAACCAGTCCTTCATCTAGCAGGCTAGTGTAATAAAATTCACCCAGTGAGGTGCACTAAGAAGGTTAGCATGGGTCTCAATGTAACCACATGGGGCCCTTACTAACCTTCCTAATGTGTATAAAAATACACCTATAGTGGAACCTCAAATTTCGAACATATCACTTATCGAATTCTTTGAAAATTGACCGCTTCTTTTGAACCAAATTTGTCTCCATTATCGAACTCCCCTTTTTTCGAACTGCTGGGTACCGGACCTGTCCGCCAGCCCGCTCTGTCCACGTCCCCGCGCAGGCGCCGTGAGCCAGTCTGGTTTTGTTGATGCTTGAATGAACACTAACCATCGCTTCTATCCTGGCAAAGAAAGAATAAATCAAGGAAGCTGATGTTGCGAAAGGTGTTGATATGCTAACCAAAATAAGACCACAGACAATCAATCAAGTTGAGAAGTTGTTGCTGGTGTGGATCAAGGATAAAGAGATGGCAGGTGATAGTGTTTCAGAGATGATT